ACCGAAGATTTGCATCCCCAGGGGGGATTATGAGAGATATTTTACAAATGCGCAGGATAATCTGACCCAGTACGTTGCGGCAAAAGGCAAATAAATGGAAGTATGGACTTGAAAAAGACTTGACGCACATAAACAATATTATTTACTGAACCTGAGGCCAAGCTGAACAAGAGGCCAAATTTCTCAATATCAGTAGTAATTGAATGCAGAATGCATTAGAATGGCGTGCATTTTTGTCATCGTCATGAAGTCCTTCAGTGTTCTTATGTTTAACCTGTGAAAATAATCACAAAACGCTGTTATCCTATTACACTGCTGTGCGTATGGACATGCGTAGTGTAGTGTACTGGTAGGGTAGTGGTAGTGTAGTGGTAGTGTAGTGGTAGTGTAGTGGTAGCTTAGTGGTAGTGTAGTGGTAGTGTAGTGGTAGCTTAGTGGTAGTGTAGTGGTTAGCGCGCTGCTCAATTCTCTTTGGTTCTATTCGGTAAAGTCACGTAGGTAAAAAATTAAAACAACAAAAATCACGGCCTTCATCAGGTGAAGGGACCAACCTGTCCAGCGGACAGCGTTGGAGTGAAGAAAGCCAAGCGCTGGTCGCCTCCCTTTAAGCTGTGAGGGGGCAAACAGCAAACGCCCTGACAAAGAAAATTAGCATGAAACGCACCACTGACAAAGCTTGGAATTAGCACAAGATGATAATACACCACCCTGGGAGTTTGGAATACCACTACTAGAATAAATATACTGTACCATTGAAATTTAGATTTGAAGCTTTCGTGCCTGCAAGGCTCCATACTCATTGGTTCTATTAGGTAACGTCACGTAGGTAAAAAATAAAACAAAAATCACGACCTTGGAAGTTTGGAGTGCCACTATTTGAAATAAATATACTGTACCATTGAAATTAGTTTAATGTTTGGTTCGATTTAGAACATCTTTCCAATGGTTGCTTAATTTGAAACCATCTTCTCGGTTGAAATTGTGTCTGTGTTTGTAAATCTGAATTGCCTCGTGAACAAATCTCTGATGATAACCTGTCGGTTTGCAAAGGACCTTGGTATCGGAGAAAATTATATCGTGATCACCCACAGCGTTGAAACAATTATCAGCTACGGCAGAATTCGTTCTGCCGTAGCAGAATTCGTTCTGCCGTGTTTCAAATCTGATTTGTGCTCGCGAATTCGGTCAGAGACATGTTGTTTCGTCTCCCCGATATAGCAATCACCACAAGTGCAGCTCAATTTGTAAACCCCGGAGTACTGTAAATCAAGAATGACATCCTTCACGGATGGGATCAGGTCACGGATTTTGTGTACTGTATTGAACCGGACCAGGATCTTGTGTTTGTTTAGAATTTTGGAGATCTTTTTAGTAACGCCTGCTATATATGGTAGTGTGATGGTTTTGACCTGAGTATCAAGTGGTTGTTTCTGTATGGAGGGAGAAACAGCTTGGCGGATGGTATGGTCAGAGTATCCGTTTCTCTTGAGGGCCAGATGTACGTGTTTTAATTCACTGGCCAGGAGGTGTTGGTCCGAAATACAATGAGCCCTGTGGTATAACGTTTTGATGAGAGAATTCTTTTGAGTCGGGTGGTGGTGGGAATCAGGTTTCAAGTAGGAATCTGTGTGGGTGGGTTTCCTGTAGACAGAATGTCCCAATGAGCAATCAGGTCTCCTCTCAAACAGAACATCCAAGAACGGCAACTTGCCATCTTTCTCCACTTCCATGGTGAATTTGATGGCGGGACGTCTGGAATTAATGTGGTGTAGGAAGAGGTTCAAAGCTGGGAGGCCATGTGGCCAAATGACGAAAGTGTCGTCTACATATCTCTTCCACAGGGAAGGTCTGAGGGTGGAAGTCTGGATGGCGTCTGATTCAAATTTCTCCATGAAAACATTGGCTATCACTGGTGATAAGGGAGAACCCATGGGGGTACCCATGGGTTCTCCCTTATGTAGACACCGTGATATTTTGGCAGACTTCTTACGACTGTTTCCAGGCCAGCTGCCAAGTTGCCTTGGAATGCACAGAGACAGCTACCACTGGGAGGGGTGTCCAATTTCAAATGCGTTGAGATGCGAGATGTGAGTGGCTCATTGCGCTCATTGCACTCTGAGATGCCTTTGACGTCAAGGGAGGCGGCTTTGTCGACCTCAAATCACTGTCGGATATTTTATCGAAATCTTTGGATGGGTTGAAGCAGCCAAAGGGTCGCACACTCATCGCTCACCGCTTACAGTTCAGATCTTGCTTCCCGCCCTGGCTATTACTGCCGCTGCATTAACCACAAAGATACACACCCATTCCGTCACAGCGGATGTTCAGGATCTCCACCGATGTAATTTTAAATGCTTAGGCCACTATGTCCAAGGGGAGAATGACACATAAAATATCACTAAAAATGAATCAGCTAAATTTACACAGCAACGCCACCCACTACTGTGAAACTACAACAGTCTGTGTGAGACACAGCTGCACCTATCTCAAGGATAGCCTTGCCCCATGAGAATGGCAGCGCCAATACCAAGCACACTCACTGGCCATGTCGTTACTGCTGTTTATATTAAGCTCGAATGAATCCACCACACATTCCACCCACGGATGGGGAGATGGCGATGTCTGCCGTAGCAGGAAGGTGAAACGGTGTCGTGTTTGTCTCTTCACTGATCTGAGCCAGCGCAGCCCTCCTCCTCACTTGTCCAGGCCTTTGAAGTGAAGTCAGATGTTGTGGAGGAGTCGAAAGAAGAGGTGGAGGAGATGATGGAGGATGAGGTAGAGACAGAGGAGGAGAAATCGGAGGAAGAGAAGGCAAAGGAGGACGAGATTGTGATGGTGACAATGGAGGAGAACACGGAGGGAGAGGATAAAGACAATACGGAGACGGAAGGCAAGGAGACAACAAAGGATGAACAGATGGTCGTGGTGGAGGAGATGGAGACGACGGACAAAGCGGAAACAATGGTGGTGGTGGAGGCAGAGAAGATGGAGAAGACAGAGGTGGCGCCACCGCCAACACCACCGCAGCAACCACCACCTCTGCCGCTACCACTGCAACTGACACTACCGCCACCACCACCACTGCCACCTCCGCCACCACCGCCACCGCCATCACAGCCACCACCATGGCAAACACCACCGTCACCACGGCTACCACCGCTATCACCTCCACCGCTATCACCTCCACCACCTCCGCCACCACCGCTGCTTCCACCACCACCTCTACCACCTCCCGAGGACAAGGAGGATGAGGAGGATGAGGAGGAGAGAACGGAGAAAACAGAGAAGGGGGAGAAGATGGTGGTGGAGGATGAAGAGGAGGTGGAGGAGGATGAGACAAAGGAGGAGGAGATGGAGGAGTAGGCGTGGTGGCGGTGGTCGTGGATCGGTGCCAACAATGACCGCTATCACCATACGACCCACCCACCCCGTGACACACGCCACACACACACCGCACGGTTCCCCAGAGAGACTGTGCCACTGGGACCACAGCTGGGGAATGAAGCTGAGCAGAAGATGTCAGGACTACAGGGGAGAATGACTGCTATCAGGACACCTCACATCACACATACACACGGGACTATGCCATAAGCATAGCCGGCCCCACACTGGGCCCCTTCCATGCTGGTTTTCATTAGGGGCAGTCCTCATGGGATGACCTTGCCATGGTTTCCAGGACGTGGAAGGGGCAGCTGACCCAGTGTGAGAGAGCTGGAGGGGTCTGGTGCAGACAATGAACAAAACCTGCACGTGCCAAGTCTCAAGGCCACCCTGTTAAGAATTAGGATCAATATCATTGTTGTTATTGTTGTGACTATAAACTCTGTGAAATCAACCCATGAGGACACAACGTAAAGTTGCATTTCTTGCGAGTGCTGCCTGGGTTGGTTAAATGTGCCTTGGCTCGTGTGTGCGCTGTCCCGGCTATGTTTGCGGCGGTACAAGGACAAATAGATAATAAGAGACGTTTTACGAAATGGTTCTTCTTCAGAGCACATACAAGCGGTGGTGGGAAAACATATTCAGGTGATTCGCCTTCTTCCCGACAAATCCGCCCCTCCTCTGCCAAACTGCTACACTGCCCCACCGCTCCACTGCCCCTCTGCTCCACCATCTGCCACAGCAGTTGAAACAAATGATTGAGTATCTTAAATCCACCTGCCTCTGTGCACCAACCAGTGAAAATGGGTGCACAACAATCGAGCGGCAAGTTGCGTTTGGTGGATTAAAGAGAAAGCAAATGCAGGACTGTGCCACTGCTCCACAATCCCAATTGCTTTGGCAAAATATTCAAAGAATGCTGCTGCTCACTAAACAGGTTGCTGCTTATGTCTTTAACGTGGGGGATGTTTAGAGGCGGCCCATGGACCTAGTGGTCAAAGCACTGAATTGGCACCACGGAGTACCTGGGTTTGAATCCAGGCAGCAGCCTGTGATCAAAGCATATTCTCAAGTCTAGCGAGTTAATGGTCTCAGCCCGGTCATCATTCACTGCACAACACAAACTATCACATGGCTGCAATGTGGTTCTCCATGTACTTAGGATAAATTCCAGCTGTAAGAAGTAACAACATTGTTGTGACCAACGTTGCTCTTAAATAAAGAACAGGTGGGAAAGTCCTACCCTTTACGATGTGGACCAGACAGCACTTGAAGGGTAGATGCTCTGTTATATTAGTTTCAGTGGGCCATTCTCTAGCACAAGGCTAGCATCATCATCACCACCCATCAACATTGCCAGCCATCTAAAACACACTCACACACTCACCATGATACTCACACACTCACCCTCAAAAACACACCCCTACCATCCTACTCTCACACACGTCATGAAAGTCACACATGCACCATTACTCACACACAAGCCTACAAACTCACAATGACAACAGCCGTAATTCGCCAATACATGACGGTGATGTAATCACAACAACCCAGGTGCCATGGGTTGATTGCTGAGCCAGGCTAGGTGCAGGAGGTTATGGAACAGAGCCAGGTCCCATGGGTTGACTGCTGTGCCAGGCTAGGTGCAAGAGGAGGTCATGGGACAGATACTGATGCTATGGGTTGACTGCTGTGCGACAATCCCACTTGGGCGACAGCCAAGGCCAAAGATCAGAGTGCAGCCAGAAAACTCCTGAACCTGCACCACCTAGAGAGAAGGGGACATGGCGACATGGGGAGAGAGAGGAGGGAGACACGTAAGAGAGAGGGGAGGGAGACACGTAAGAGAGAGGGGAGGGAGACACGGGGAGAGAGGGGAGGGAGACACGGGGAGAGAGGGGAGGGAGACACGGGGAGAGAGAGGAGGGAGACACGGGGAGAGAGAGGAGGGAGACACGGGGAGAGAGAGGAGGGAGACACGGGGAGAGAGAGGAGGGAGACACGGGGAGAGAGAGGAGGGAGACACGGGGAGAGAGAGGAGGGAGACACGGGGAGAGAGAGGAGGGAGAAACGGGGAGAGAGAGGAGGGAGACACGGGGAGAGAGAGGAGGGAGAAATGGGGAGAGAGGGGAGGGGGACACGGGGAGAGAGGGGAGGGAGACACGGGGAGAGAGAGGAGGGAGACATGGGGAGAGAGAGGAGGGAAACACGTAAGAGAGATGGGAGGGAGACACGGGGAGAGAGAGGATGGAGACACGGGGAGAGAGAGGGGAGGGAGACACGGGGAGAGAGAGGATGGAGATACGGGGAGAGAGAGGATGGAGACACGGGGAGAGAGAGGAAGGATACATGGGGAGAGAGGAGGGAGACACGGGGAGAGAGAGGAGGGAGACACGGGGAGAGAGAGGAGGGAGACACGGGGAGAGAGGGGAGGGAGACACGGGGAGAGAGAGAAGGGAGACACGGGGGGAGTGAGACAAAGGAGGCACCTGTGGGCCAGATGCCTCCTTTGTCTCCCCCCCCCACCACCGCCACTGCTGATGTGTCCACACTGCGCTTGGTTCACACCTTCTTCTGGCTGAGTCGACGTAGAGGAGGCCCAGCCAACGAGCCACCACTTCAGAAGCTCGCGAGCCACCGACGGTGACCGTGAGAGGGAATCCAAATCAGCCTCTCGCCACCCACAATGCACAGCACCGCCTCCACTCGCCCCGGCCTCAGCGGAAGTAGCAGTGGGCGGAGGCGAGGGGGGTGTGGTGGGTGGGGGGTGAGGGGGGTGTGGGGGTGAGGGGGGACATGGGGGGTGGCGCAGGGGGAGTTATGGGGTTGAGGCGTTATGCATAATAAAGGTTTATTTGGGTTAGTCTCCAACACACCGATGTGCCAAAGTAGAAACTAATTGGCACTTTATTAATTGGCTGTGTCGGGTGGTGACGGGTTTTAAGACATTTATATTTACACGATCTTACCGCAAAAAAAAAAACATGGGATTGGAGAGTTGGGGGTTTAGAGAGTTATGGGTTTAGTGGTATAAATGTTTGAGGGTTAGGGGTTTTTTAGGGTTTGGATTGTAGGGGTATAGGGGTTTAAACGGTTAGGAGATTAGAGAGTTAGGTGTTTAGAGGGTTTGGGTTTTAGGGTTTTTAGAGGGTTAGAGGTTTAGAAGGTTGGGGTTTAGAAGGTTAGGTGTTTAGAGGGTTAGGGGTTAGTTAGATTTTGAGATGGTTGGGGTTAGATGGGTTCGGATTTAGGCTAGGGATTAGGGTTGTAGAATGTTAAGGTTTCGAGGTTTACAGGGTTAAGGGTTCTGAAGGTTACGCTTTAGAAGGATATAGGTTTCGAGGGTTAGGGTTTTAGAGGGTTTGGTTTTTAAGGGTTTAGAAAGTTAGGGGCTCAAAGAGTTAGGGGTTTGGGTTCAGAGGGTTAGGGGGTTAGAGGCATAGGGGTTTAGAGGGTGAGGAGTTTAGAGGGTGAGGGGTTTAAGGGTTAAGGGGATTAGAAAGTTAGGGTGTTAAGGGTGAAGGGGATTAGAGGGTTATGGTTTTCGAGTATAGGGGTTTAGAGGGTTATAGGTTTAGAGGGTTAGGGGTATAGAGGCTTAGGTGTTTATAGAGTTAGGGTTTTAGGAATCTATGGGTCTATGATTAACACGAACCCTATGGGAGACCCAACGATTAACACTGAACCCTATGTGAGCCCCAGTGATTAACACTGAACTCTATGGGAGACACAGTGATTAAAACTGAACTCTATGGGAGCCCTAGTGATTAACACTCAACCCTATGGGAGACCCAGTAAATAACAATGAACCCTATGGGAGACCCAGTAACACTCAACCCTATGGAATGCCCAGTGAGTAACACTGAACCCTATGGGAGACCCAGTGAGTAACACTCAACCATATGGGAGACCCAGTGATTGATACTGAACCCTATGGGAGACCCAGTAATTAACACTGAATTATATGGGAGACCCAGTGAGTAACACTGAACCCGATGGGAGACCCAGTGATTAATACTGAACCCTATGGGAGCCCCAGTAATTAACACTGAACCCTATGGGAGACCCAGTGAGTAACACTGAACCCTATTGGTGCCCCAGTGATTAACACCAAACCTTATGGGAGACCCAGTGATTAACACTCAACCCTATGGGAGACCCAGTGAGTAACACTGAACTCTATGGGAGACCCAGTGAGTAACACGAACCCTATGGGAGACCCATTGATTAACATGCAACCCTATGGGAGACCCAGTGAGCAACACTGAACCCTATGGGAGATCCAGTGATTAACACTTAACCCTATTGGAGCCCCAATGAGTAACACTGAACTCTAAGGAAGTCCCAGTGATTAACACTGAACTTTATGGGAGACCCAATGATTAACACCGAACTCTATGGAAGCCCCAGTGAGTAACACTGAACTCTAAAGCCACCCACTCCCGAGTGTGCTGATTCGGTCTCAATAGGTGCTCGCTAACAGCACATTCCCCAACAGTCTCTTCAGGCTAAAAGGGAATCTCAAACAGGGAATGTATTTGTCTTTGTGTGAGAGTGAGTCAGAGTAAGTTTGTGCGAGGGTGAGTTTGTGAGAGTGAGTGAGTTTGTGCGAGGGTGAGTTTGTGAAAGTGAGTTTGTGAGAGTGAGTGAGCTTGTGAGAGTGAGTGAGTTTGTGAGGGTGAGTGAGTTTGTGAGAGTGAGTGAGCTTGTGAGAGTAAGTGAGCTTGTGAGATTGAGTGAGTTTTTGAGAGCGAGTGAGCTTGTGAGAGAGAGTGAGCTTGTGAGAGTAAGTGAGCTTATGAGAGCGAGTGAGTTTGTGAGAACGAGTGAGTTTGTGAGAGCGAGTGAGCTTATGAGAGCGAGTGAGTTTGTGAGAGTGAGTGAGCATGTGGGAGTGAGTGAGTTTGTGAGAGTGAGTGAGCTTGTGAGAGTGAGTTTGTGAGTGTAAGCCTGTGAGTGTGAGTGAGCTTGTGAGTGACCATGTGGGAGTGAGTGAGTTTGTGAGAGAGAGCTTGTGAGAGTGAGTGAGCTTGTGAGAGTGTGATTGAGATTGTGAGAGTGAGTGAGTTTGTGAGAGTGAGTGAGCTTGTGAGAGTGAGCTTGTGAGAGTGAGTGTGTAGTATAGCGATTAGTGTGCTGCGCTACGAACTTGGCGACCCAGGTTTGATTCCCTCTAATGGTCAACACTGGTGACGATTATCTGAACCAGGTATCCCGTAGGTCAACACAGCCTCAAATGAGTGTCTGGTGAGGTGTGTGCACATCACCAGGCACTCATTTGAGGCTGTGTTGACCTACGGCCAACTTCATCTCCCTAGTGGTGATGTGCACACACCTCACCACTAGGGAGACGAAGTTGGCCGTGCCTGTTGCTGGCCACCCACCCCCTCGTGTTCCATGCTGGCTTTCATAGGTGCTTGCTAACAGCATTTGCCCCAACGGTCTGTTATGGCTATACGGGGGATCTTTATCTTTGTGGGTGTTTTTGTGTGTGCGTTTGTGGGTGGGTGAATTATTGAGTAGATGAGTGGGTGACCAAGTGAGAATTGGTGGATGAGAGAGTCTGTGAGTGAGTGAATCTGTGAGTGGTTGAGCGAGTGGATGAGTGAGTAGGTGAGTGAGTAGGTGAGGGACAGGGTTAGTGAGTGTGTACATTTGTGTGTGAGTGGGTGAGTAGGTGAGAGAGTGGATTATTTGATAAATGAGTGGGTGGGTGAGTGCATTTCTGAGTGAATTAGTGAGTGAGTGGGTCAGTGAGTGGCTAATTGAGTGGGTGAGTGAGTTTCTGAGTGATTGGGTGGATGGGCGAGTAGGTGGGTGAGTAGGTGAGTGAGTGGATACGTGATTGAGTGAATGAATAAGTTAATCATTGGCGAAGTAGCTGAATGAGGAAGTGACGGAAAGAAATAAATGTGAAAAAGTGGGTGAGTGAGTGACTAATTGAGCAAGTAGATGAGCGCGTTAGTGAGTGAGTAAGTGAATGAGCAGGTTATTGATTGAGTGGATGAGTGAGTGGGTGAGTGACTGATGGAGTGAGTGAGTGATGAAATCATTGGGAGGGTGAGTGGGTGAGTGATATTCTGAGTTCGTGGTTAAGGGAGTGGGTGCTTGAATGAGTGGAAGAGTGGATAGGTAAGTGGGTGAGTGAGTGTGTGGGTGAGTAGGTGAATGAGTTTCTGATTGAGTGGCTGAGAAAGTGGGCGAGTGGGTGATTTATTTAATGAATGGATGAGTGGGTGAATGAGTGGTGAGTGAGTAGCCGAGTGAGTTTCTGAGTGGGTTAGTGGGTGAGTGAGTGGAGGATGAGTGAGCGAGTGAGTCTCCGAGTGAATGGGTGAGTGATTGAATTAGATAATAATTGACCGAGTTGCTGATTGAGTGAGTTACTGAAGGAATGAGTGGGGAAACGAGTGAATTGGTGAGGGAGTGGGTGAGTCAATAAGAAAGTGAGCGAGAGAGTAGATGAGTGAGTTTTTCAGCGAGTGGGTCGGTGGTTGTCGGAGTTTCTAAGTGAGTGGATGAGTGATTTTCTGAGTGCATGAGTGAGCGAGTTAGTGAGTAAGCATTGGTCAGTGAGTGGCTGATTGAGTAAATGAGTAGATAGGTTAGTGAGTGAGTGCGGATGAGTAAAGGAGTTTTTGAGTAGGTGGTTTGGTGGTTGAGTGAGTTTCTGAATAGGTTAGTGGGTGAGTGAGCTTCTTCCTGCTTCTGTGAGCGAGTGAGTCTGAGTGACTCTGTGAGTGAATGGTTGAGCGAATGTGTGAGTGAGTCAGTGGGTGAATGATTGGGTGAGTGAGTTTCTGAGTCAGTCTGTGAGTGAGTGGATGAGCGAGTGGGTGAGCGAGTGGGTGAGAGATTGGATGAGCGAATGGATGAGTGAATGGATGAGTGAGTGGATGAGCAAGTGAGTTTACGAGTTAGAAAGTTGTTGAATGAGTGGGTGAGCGAGTGGGGGAGTAAATGGGTGAGTGGAGGAGTGACATTCTGAGTTGGTGGTTGAGGGAGTGGTTCTTAAGTGAATGGAAGAGTGGATGAGTGAGTGGGTGAGTGAGTGGGTGAGTGAGTGTGTGGGTGGGTGCTTGATTGAGAATGTGAGTTGTTGATCGATTGTGTGGGTGAGTGCGTAGGTGAGTGAGTTTCTGAATGAGTGGCTGATAGACTGGGCGAGCAGGTGAGTGAGTGGGTGAGAGTCTCCAAGTGAGTGGGTGAGTGAGTGGGTTGTTGAATGAGTGAGTAGTTGAGTGAGTAGATGAGTGAATGGGTGAAATGATTGAGTGGATGAGTTAATGGTTGCGAGTGAGTCGGTGGGTGGAGGAATGAGTTTCGGAGTGAGTGGATGAGTGAGTGAGTCTGCAAGTGAGCGAGTTGGTCAGTGAGTGGCTGAGCGAGTGAATGAGTAAGTAGGTCAGTGAGTGGGTGCGGATAAGTGAGGTAGTTTTTAAGTAAGTGGGTCGGTGGTTGAGTGAGTTTCTGAATAAGTTAGTGGATGAGAGCTTCTGAGTGAGTCTGTGAGCGATTGAGTCTGTGAGTGAGTCTATCAGAGAGGGAGTCTGTGAGTGAGTAAGTAAGTGGGTGAATCTGTGCGCACATGGGGAAGTGGGCGAGTGAGTGCACGAGTGGGTGAATTATTTTGTGAGTCAGTTTCTGAGCGTGTGAGTGGGTGAGTTTATGAGTGATTCTGTGAGTGGATGCACAAGTGGGTGAGCAAGTGGGTGGGTAAATGGGTGAGCGAGTTCTTGAGTGAGTGGCTGAGTGAGTAGGTGAGGGATTGGGTGAGCGAGTAAGCCTGTGAGTCGTTGAATGGATGGGTGCACGAGTGGATGAGTCTGTGTGAGTCTATGGGTCTTTGTGCAAGTATATTGTCGGTGTTTCGACGGGTCTTTGTTTGAGTTAATTGGTTTCTGTGTAAGTCTATGGGTCTGTGTGAGTCTATGGATCTATGTGCGAGTCTTTGGGTCTCTGTGTGGTGCACATAGCCTGGCATGTGAGTAGGGGGCGTACCCCTGTGCGTATGTGTGGCGGGGACACCGTACCCCTGTGCGTATGTGGGTGGGGTACCGTAACCCTGTGTGTATGTGGGTGGGATACCGTAACCCTGTGCGAGGGGATCTTTCCACCCTGGGGCAGAGGGAGGATCATGAAGGTGGACCCAGAAGCGCTCGGCTTGGGAGACGAACCTTCCTCCTCCTGCTTCTTGTTGTTGTGCTGGGGGGTAGGGGGTGTGGAGAGGGAGGAAGGGAGGAGGAAGAGAGGAAACTAAACTATTTATATTTTACCAGGTGAGGCCCACCGAGCTACACAGCTCTTCTTCAGAATAGAAAAGGCCAAAAATTATCGGTCAACGAAGTGGCTTATCATCACGTCGACATTATAGAAACCTAACACTCTGAACGCGACCACAGGGAGAGAGAGACATGCAAACTTAAATATATAGCAGGTGTGAGGGTAGGGATCGACCCACGACCTCCTGTATAACAGGCGAGGTAGTTACGGGAGAAAGGAGAGGGATAGAGAGGCAGGGAAAGAGAGGGAGGTAGAGGGGGTAGGGGAGAGTGGGGGGAGAGAGGAAGAGGAAGGAAGAGTGGGTAGTGGGTAAAGGGAGGGGGGGCAAATAAGTCAAACTCACAGTATTGCTTGCACTCACCATGATACAATCACCATCAAACTCACACTGTCACATACCATCACTCACATCCTCACCACGATTCTCACACACCCACACACACTTACCCTCATAAACACACCATTACTATCCAACTCGCACACACGACATGATAGTCACACACTCAATCACCATTACTTACACAAAAGCCCACCAACTCACAACAATGGCCACCATTCGCCACTACGTGGCGGTAATATCACAACAAACCAGGTGCCATGGGTTGACTGCTGTACCAGGCTAGATGCAGGAGGAGTACACGGGACAGACCCAGGTGCCATGGGTTGACTGCTGTACCAGGCTAGGTGCAGGAGGAGGTCACAGGACAGATCCGGGTGCCACAGGTTGACTGCTGTTCCAGGCTAGGCGCAGGAGGAGGTCACGGGACAGATCCTGATGCTATGGGTTGACTGCTGTGCGACAAATCCACTCGAGTGACAGCCAAGGTCAAAGGTTGGAGTGCAGCCAGTAAACTCCTGACCCCTGAACCTGGACCACCCAGAAATAAGAGCGGGATGGAGACACAGGGAGAGAGAGGAGGGAGACACGGGGAGAGAAAGCAGAGGTAGGAGGCGAGTGCGTGGAGGAAGCGAGAGCTCCTCTAGAGATGCAGGAGGTAAAGATGGTCCAGAATCAACGACGACTGCAAGGTATGCTGGGAGGCAAGGTCATGTGACCAACGCGGCACAGGGGCGGCAGTGCTGGCTGGAGCCATCGCTGTTGGAGTCGCATGGGCAGAGGACCCAGAACGCATCCTTCATCCCAGCACCTACAGCAACCACAATCACCACCACAACTATAACCAAAACAACCATAAAATAACCACAACTAAAACCACACCTCCAATTAGCACGGTTGGCTGGGTAGGGTGTGATAGAAGTTCAAAATATATACAACTACCATAACAACCATCATAACCACCTACACCACAACTATGACCATTACAACCACCACCTACACAATTATAACAAATATAACCACAAACACCACAACCGCACATATAACCACAACCTACACAACCACAATTATAACCACAACCAAAACCACCACAACCAGAGCCACAATTACCATAACAAACCAACATAACCACCTACACCACAACTGTAACCTCAACCACCACTACAACCACCTATACAACCAAAACTAAAGCCACAATTATAATCACAACCACCACAATCATAACCACAACAACCACCACAACCACCACCACGACCGCCACCACGACCACCACCACGACCACCACCACGACCACCACCACGACCACCACCACGACCACCACCACGACCACCACCACGACCACCACCATAACCAAACAAAAATATTGACGCAGATACTACACAACCACTGCATGAAGGGTCTCTATCCCTCTGTGGATGGGTGAGTTGATGAGTGGGTGGGTGAGTTGATGAGTGGGTGGGTAGGTGAGTGAGTGGCTGAGTGAGTGGGTGGGTGGCTGAGTGAGTGGGTGGCTGAGTGAGTGGGTGAGTGAGTGGGTGAGTGGGTGGCTGAGTGAGTGGGTGGGTGAGTGGGTGGCTGAGTGAGTGGGTGGCTGAGTGAGTGGGTGACTGAGTGAGTGGGTGAGTGAGTGGGTGGCTGAGTGAGTGGGTGACTGAGTGAGTGGGTGGGTGAGTGGGTGGCTGAGTGGGTGGGTGAGTGAGTAGCTGAGTGGGTGGCTGAGTGAGTGAGTGGCTGAGTGTGAAATGGACTCGAACCTGCACCTCTGCATTGCAAGTCCAGTGAGCTCACGGCCCGCGTGTGGAGGGGTAAAGTGTGGCTACGCCCAGCGTGGAAGAGGAGACCAAATACTCCACATCGCGGCCTCAAGTGGAGGCCATTTCTGCCACGACAACAAATCCGTCCCTCCAGAGATACAAAAAAACTAAATTTAACTCATCCCATCAGCCGCAATCTGGCAGTGCCTCTCCTCATCATCATCAGCAGCAGGGCCGTGAACTCAGCAGGCGCCTAGCGCGTGACGGCTGTGGGCCAGGCGCCTCCTCTGCCTCCCCCTCCCCCGCACCACCGCCACTGCTGCTGTGTCCACACCGTGCAAGCTTCTCGCCTTCTTCGGGCTGAGTCGACGTAGAGGTGGCCCAGCCAGCGAGCCGCCGCTTCAGAAGCTCGCGAGCCACCGACGGTGGCCGTGAGCGGGAATCCAAATCGGCCGCTCGCCACCCACAATGCACAGCGCCGCCTCCACTCGCCCCGGCCTCAGCGGAAGAAGCAGCGGGGGGAGGGGCGGGGAGAGGGGCGGGGCGAAGGTGGTAAAGGGGTAGGGTGAGGGGGTGTGGCCAAAGGGGGGAGGAGCTCCGGTGGGGGGAGGCGCTCAGGGCTGTTTACGTCGCAGTGGGCGTGGTCTCATGGTACCGCCCCCTCGTCTCGAGCCACGCGCTTCCTCCTGGCAGTTTGTCCGTTAGAGAGGCGGGGAGAGCATCTGGCGAAGGTGAGGAGCGGTGAGGTGATGTGAGTCTGTGTGTGTGTGTGAGTCTGTGTGTGTGAGTCTGTGTGTGTGTAAGTCTGTGTGTGTGTCTGAATGCCGCATAGACATTCAGACACACACACAGACTTACACTACAGTCTGGACCACTGGACGGGTTCCGCAGGATTGGAAGGATGCCCTGGTGGTCCCCCTTTTTAAGAAGGGGGACCGCACAGACTGGAACAACTACAGGGGCATCTCACTCCTCAGTGTGCCGGGAAAGGTCCTGGCAAGGATTATTCAGCATCGCCTTGCCAGGCACGCTGAGGAGAGGCTTGCGGAGCCCCAATGCGGTTTCAGGAAAGGGCGGTCCTGCACGGATGCCATATTTTCTGTCCGTCTGCTACAGCAGAGGTGTAGGGAATTCCAACAAGACCTACATCTCTGCTTTATTGACCTGGTCAAGGCCTATGATACCATCAGTAGGCCTGGGCTCTGGGTCGTTCTTCGTGCTTTTGGAGTACCTGACCCTCTGCTCACGATCATTAAGGACCTTCATGATGGTGAGCGGGCCCGGGTAAAACTACGTGGCCGGGAGTCAGAGCCATTCCCTGTACACCTTGGGGTGCGACAGGGATGTCCTCTGGCTCCCACATTATTTAACATCTATTTTGACCACGTAGTTCGTGAAGCCTTCAATAGCTGTACCGGGGGAATCTCCATATGGTACAGATATAATGGGAGGCTAATCGATGCCCGGGTGCGGTCAAGGGATGGCTCCCTATTGCTCAACCACGTTATGTATGCTGATGACTTGGTAATAGCTGCTCAGTCAGAGGAGGAGTTGGAGACGCTGCTGCTGAGACTGGAGCGTGCCACTAAGAGGTGGGGCCTTACCATCAGCCCCACCAAAACTAAGCACCTGCCTGGGTATTTTGTACCATCGGACACTCCACCCCCACAACTCCCAATCGGTGATGGGGCAGTTGTGGAGAGAGTGGAGAGTTTCCCATACCTGGGCAGTGTGCTTATGACTGGCTCCAGTTTAACAGCAGAGGTCTCACTCCGAATCAGTCGAGCGGCAATATCTTTTCATCGGTTGCGTAACGCTGTGTGGAAGCTACCTGGTCTGTCGCTCCGCACTAAGCTTCAGGTCTTCTCGGCCACGGTCATTCCCTCCCTTCTCTACGCTTGCGAAACGTGGACCCCCCTAATGGAACATCTTCGCCGGTTAGAAACATTTAGGCTGACCTGCCTACGATCCATCCTGGGTTTAACCAGACTGGATTGTGTGAGGAGCTCACAAATCCTTGAAAGATCTGGGCAGGGTCCCATCGGTGAGCTCCTCCGGCAGGCAAGGCTGCGATGGCTGGGTCATGTAGCCCGCATGCCCAGCCACCGCATGCCGAAACAGCTTTTGTTTGGCCGGATTGAGGGGGCTAAGCGGGCGCGGCACGGGCTAGAGAAGAGATGGAGTGATGTGGTACAGGAGGACGTGGAGCTGAGTGGACTTGCCGATGACTGGTACCAGCGGTGTCAAGATCGGCCTCTGTGGAGGAGGCTCGTGAAGGATGCTACTGGGCAGTTGGAGGCAGTCGCCCTCCAACAACAACGGAGGGCGGAGGAGCGACGCTCACAACAGCGAGCGGAGCGCCGGGTGGCTAAAGCACAGCAGGTTGGCACAGTAGGGGGCACAGGTGGTGCATCAGCCAGTCATCTCAGTCAGTCGACCCGTGGCACCTGGGTCTGCCCCGTGACCTCCTGCCAGCGGGCGTTCGACACTTCACGTGGCCTCAGGGTGCACATAGCCTGGCACAAGCGTCGTGGTGACGTCACCGCCACTTAGTGGCGAATGGCGGTTGTTGTTGTTGTTGTGTGTGTCTGTGTGTGTGTGAGTCTGTGTGTGTGTGAGTCTGTGTGTGTGTGAGTCTGTGTGTGTGTCTGTGTGTGTGTGAGTCTGAGTCTGTGTGTGTGAGTCTGTGTGTGTGTGAGTCTGTGTGGGTGTAGTGGTTAACGCGCCGCGCTATGAACCCGGTGTCCCCGAGTTGGATTCCCTCTCAAGGCCAACACGGTGGCGATTATGTGAACCGGTCCTGGGCCTCCCCTAGGTCGACTCAGCCTCAAATGAGTACCTGGTGTGGTGTGAAAGCGTCGCCACTAGGGAGACAAAGGCGGTCGGGCGTTGTGTTGGCCACCCATTCCCTCGTGTGCCGTTCTGGCCTTCATAGGTACTGCTGGCTATCAGCACTTGCCCCAACAGTCTATTTCATCTATAAGGGGGATCTTTATCTTTGTTGCTAGTGGTGTTGTTGGTGGTGTTGATGGTGTTGGTGTTGATGGTGGTTGTGTTGGTGGTGGTGGTGGTGTTGTTGGTGGTGCTGTTGGTGGTGTTGGTAGTCGAGTTGGTGGTGGTGTTGTTGATGGTGGTGTTGTTGGTGTTGATGGTGGTGGTGTTGCTGGTGGTGTTGGTGGTGGTGTTGGTAGTCGAGTTGGTGGTGGTGTTGTTGATAGTGGTGTTGTTGATGGTGGTGTCGGTGTTGATGGTGGTGGTGTTGTTGGTGGTGCTGTTGGTGGTGTTGGTACTCGAATTGGTGGTGGTGTTGTTGATGGTGGTGTTGTTGATGGTGGTGGTGTTGGTGGTGGTGTTGTTGGTGGTTTTGATGGTGGTGGTGTTGGTGGTGGTGTTGTTGGTGGTTTTGGTGGTCGTGGTGGTGTTCGTGGTGTTGGTGGTGTTGATTGGGGTGTTGTTGGTGGTTGTGTTGGTGGTGTTGATGGTGGTGGTGTTGGTGGTTTTAGTGGTCGTATTGGTGTTGTTGGTGGTGCTGTTGGTGGTGCTGTTGGTGGTGTTGGTAGTCGAGTTGGTGGTGGTGTTGTTGATGGTGGTGTTGTTGGTGTTGATGGGGGTGGTGTTGATGTAGGTGGTGTTGATGGGGGTGGTGTTGGTATTGTTAGTGGTGTTAGTGATGTTTTTGGTGATGGTGTTGATGGTGGTAATTTTCTTGTTGGTGGTGGTGTTGTTCGTGGTGTTAGTGGTGGTTCCTACGATCCGTCATGGCTTTAAACAGGCTGGATTGTGTGAGGGGCTCACAAATCCTTGAAAGATCTGGACACTTTCCCACCAGTAAGCTCCTCCGGCAGGCAAGGCTGCGTTGGCTGGGTCTTGTAGCCCACATATCCAAGCAGTTTTTTTGGCCGCATAAAGGGGGCTAAACGGGCATGACATGGGCTGTCGAAAATATGCACTGATGCTGTCTGGGAGGATGTGGAGCTGAGTGGACTTGCAGAAGAGTGGTATCAGCGGTGTAAATAGCATCCTTCACGAGGAAGCTCGTGAAGGATGCTACTGGGCAGTTGGAGGCAGTCGCCCTCCAACAACAACTGAGGGCAGAGGAGTGACGCTCACAACGAGTGGCGGATAAAATTCAGCAAGTTGGCACAGTTTGGGATACAGCTGGTGTATCTACCAGTCATCTCAGCCAACCTTTGGAACCTGGGTCTATCCCGTGACGTCTTGACAGCCTTCGGCACTTGATGTGGCCTAAAAGTGCACCTGGCCCGGCACAGGCGCCGTGGTGACATCACCACTACTTTGTGGCGAATGTTGGTTGTTTTTGTGTTTCGTGTTGTGAGTAAGTGGTGATGATGTGAGTCTGCGTTGATGATGTGGGTTCATGGTGAGGATGTGAGTCCTCGTGTTGAGATCTGGGTACCGTCACGCCCCCTCGACTATTTGTGATCCTCGCCTTCGTCTCCTGCTCCGCATGCAGAGACCCGGACTGTGCGAGAGACGCTGCGAGTTCTGTGCACCCTGCTCTGCAAGTTGCCACCATGGAGGTACGTGTGGCTCCTCCACTCGTGTGGTGAAGTATGGATGGACGTGTGCTCTCCACTTTGCGTGTGGCTACCAGTCACCTATCCATATACCTGAGTGTGCATCTGCTTGCCTGCCTGAGTGTGTGTGCATCTATCAGAGTATCTCCCCCGAGATCCTGTGTACCTGCCTGTCTACACGTGAATAATCTACAGTACTTTTATCTATCCACTACTGGATGAAGGCCTCCTTCCTTGAGACCCTGCTACCACCCCTCATGATCCTGCGATGGAATAATCCACCAAGCACCGATTTTGTCGCTCCATCTTTCTGCTGACTTCTCAGACGTGCTCCGATACTTGGCTGCAGCTCCGTTATTGTTCTTGATCATCGGCCATCGTTGTTCCTCCTGGCCGTGGCATTTCCTGGCCCAGCCCCACTTCTCTTAACAGTTTGAAGGATGCCATTCACCTGCGTGTGTCCTCTAAATCCACACGTGTCTCATTGTAAATCCAGGTGTGACATCAGATATCAGCCAAATATCCCAACGCTGAGAACTTACAACATCTTGGCAGGACCCTCCTGATTGTGGAGCCCAGGATCTCAGAGATCCTGGCTCAGTGCTCGCCTCCTGCGCTTTCCCCAACATCTTGCTAAAGCTTACGTGGTGGACCTTTGTCTTTGTGTGCATGTAGATGAGCCGAGCTGGAGAGGCGAGGAGTAAGGGCGAATCTTGCACCACGTGGAGTGCGCTGTCCCCAGAGGGCACCGCCTCCGCCTGCAGCAAATCACCGCAAGGTAAGAACGGTAATGAGCGACGTCACAGAGGGCCATGGTGAATGCTGTAACATCACGATGGCCATGTTGTATGGTGGATGTCACAGTGGCCATGATGCAGTGGAGATTTCATAGCGACCATGATGCATGGGTGATATCCAGGTGGCCAACGTACGGTGCAAAAGAAGTTTAGCATACATACAGACATACCTGGTATTGGCCAAAATATCCCAATCCTG